CTGCGTTCTGGTACGATCCTGTTTCCTCGATTTCATCATCTCGATACGCTCATGTATAGAATCTCCACCACACGCTCCAGGAAGAACACTGTCAAAGATTAGCTCCGGTATCCTTCCTCTCGATTCCGGTGGGAACCGCATTGTTCGGGGGAGACCATTTGCTCTCATACCCTCTTTATCTTAAATCGAATGACAAATTCCGCCAGACTTCACTGCGGCTGAATGGAAAATCGGGGCCGTTGCGCATGTCACTGAAGCGAACGGGGATTCGCCACAGTCAGGCTCGGGACGATTCCCTGGAGGAACAACAAATTCTCCGTTTTCGTACACTACTCATTGACGGCAGATGCTGCTGTCGGCGACGTCCTTTGCAACGCCAGTGACGTGAGCGCAGCGTCTTAGATCAGTCTCGTCCCGGTACCGTCAACCACGTGCGCTGTCAAGGGAAGATCACCGTTCTGTCTCGCACGCTCGATAGAATTCCTGAACTAATGCCGGCGCTACGTACTTTCGTCGGGAGTCGAGTTCACCAGGTTCGGGGGCGAATTTCGTCGACGACAGCCCGCGGATGACTGAATCCTGAGTAGGTCGAATCCTGGGAATGATTTTGCCGTTTGACCCGTGGGTCAGCAACAGACCGCCGACGGCCGCTTTACGCCAAAGGGAGTATGCAGCCCGAGGTGCTCAGGAGGGGGGCTCTGCGGCCATCCGACAACAATAAATCATCCCACCGATACCTCTCGGATTCAATTTTTCATTGAATTCACTGCGAATCGCACATAGAGGGGAGGCGATAAACCGCGGCGGAAGGACGTCGGGACGGTGTGGGAATTACTTCCCGCTCCGAGCCGAGATTAGTAGAGTGCCGATTTGCATTGACTTGGGCACGCAGTGGGAAGAGTACTTCGACACCCTTAGTCGAGTTTCCACCGCGTGACGGGTCCCGTGAATTAGATCTCTCCACAAACAGGAGCATCGCATTGCCAAGTCCACCAACAGGGCGAGCGGAACTGGGATGCGCAGGAAATCAAAACGATCGATCGACTTGCTCCGCTTCCACGGAGGCGAGCGATGCTCAGGAAAAGCGAAGACCGTCGACCGACTATCGGCAGCATCCACCAGGGTGACGGATGACGTTATCATGTCAAGGTCTCGTACAAACACTCGGCTCAACACACTCGATCGAGACTTGTGAGACGGGACTCGTGCCAGATACCGCCCATCAAGAGGGAGGACCTGGCTCTCGACCCACATTCTCCGTGAGACATCAGGAACGATAAGTGCTGCACTGAATCTCTCTTTGATCGTGACATCAGCCACAATGTGGCCCGGATTATACGGAGACTGATCTTGCGTGTTGCCTTCGATGTGAGGTGACATACATACATTGCTTCGAGATGCCTGAGAGAGTTTAATCTGATGGGCAGAGCTCGATTCTCGTCACAGAATTCGAACGCACCTCTGACGCGGAATGAGACCTGGATGCGGAAATCTAGATCGGTCCGCTTCCTCATCGGCGAAGCGTAGAGTAGAGGAATTGTATGAGGTCGATGTGTACGCAGGTAGCTCAACATGGGCAGCGGGCTGAAGCGAGGAATGTTGACGCGAATCAGCGCCTCCCACGCTGTCTGCGCATAAGCCCCGGATCGCGCCACAGATGACGGAGGAAATCTGTGCAATGATATGTTGCCGCATCTATCCCGTGATGATCACGATCAAGAAAGGTATTCTCACGACAGGTCTACGTGGGTTGCGGCCATGTACTGCTGGAGCTGATCCTGCAACGATGGTTGTGAGAACTACTCCTTTGCACCCCCTTCTTCGGTCGAGGACTTCTAGGAAGTTCGATCCACGAGAGCCTAATACTGCACTCGAGCACTATCGTGTCGTATGCCGCCGGCTGGACGTATCGACAGCTGCAGGCCAATCGAGGCGATAAGTTTTCAGTCTCTGCTTCGAGCAGATTGCGTAGCTTTCCGACTGATTTATCCTTCTCCGTGCCAGGAAGGAACAAGGGGTCGAGTAAGCACGGGCTTAGCTCAGCCAGGGGCCTCGAGAAGCTCGAATCGAAATTTCGTGGGTCGCTTGTGCCTCCCAGAGAGGAAACGTCTCGCTGAATCGTGAGTCAACTAACGAGTTCCGTCAGTTTCTGTTGGTGAGGCGACGACTACCACGTCCCGATGAGCCAAAATTTGCGAATTTTCTCCGAGGATTCAAAACCGGAGATGTTCCATTCACCTCGAAATTTCTTTGCCGAATCTCCGACCGAGATGTGTGTCTCGCTCCGAGGACCTCGTCCATCCGTGACGGGAGACCCCTCTTTGGCTTCGAGCCGAAAGGAAAGGGGAAAGCTTCACCAGAGCCATCGTTCCGCAGTGAGCGCATCTCGTGCGTCTTCGTAAATGATTTGATCTCCTGCGATGGATCGCTCCTGGATGTGACAATGATCGCAATGAGCCTTCCGGAATCACTCTCCCGGGCGATTAAACCGAGGAAGGTCTTGCCGCGTATATGAGCATTTTGCGCGGAATAAAAGTCCGTGAGGAACATCGAGGAGAGAACCGCAATTCCCCGAACTTGAATTCAACGAGCGTTCCGCACAAGCGATTCGGACAGTACAGCGCGCATTGTGCTCGTATTATCTCTTGCTTTGCGTGCTCGAGTCAGAGTCCATAGCGATTCGAAGGAGGAAAACGAGGGCTTTTCCCCTTAATGGCGCCCATTGAGCGCCTGGAGCCAGGTGCCTTCTCGACAAGGCACAAACCGCCGAAACGGCATATCTGTAATTTCATTCTCGTCTGCATTCTCCAAGGGCACATCACGAGTGCGGAATCGTTTATCGAAAAGTCTTCACCGACCGTTAGATCATGTGCGGAATCAGGTGTTTAGGGGGTCCATGAGGCTTGGTACCCCACAGAGCGGAGGATCTGGAACTTTCAAGAATCCACCGAACCTCAGAGATCGTCTCATACGCCCGGTGGCGAAGCTGGCGAACGCCACGTCCACGAAATTGATGGTGATGAGAGTCAGTTCGATTTTCACAAGCTCAGATGGAATGCAGTTTGTCAGGACCTCCACAGTTCCGATCTCAGAGCGTCATCGAGACAGCGACCGAGCACGGTGGAGCGGAAAAGTCGACTTTTTTTCGATGCGAAGAAGAATCCCATTCGATACGCTGCTGCTGACAGCACAGGACCTTCGGGGATAAGCTCCGTCATGGGTCCCGAATATTCATGGAATCCTGAGCGACTTCGGAGCGCTCTGTGTATCGAGAGCATGCGTTGAAGACGATTGAAAGAAAATAGTCTGGTACTGCCCGAGTCGCATTGTACACGGAAGCTTTCGCAGCTGGATGAGCGAATTCTAAGCCTAATTCGAATTTCACGTGAGACTCTATTCGAGCTAGTCAGAGACAATAATTTCCCTCGAGCTCCCCCATGCTAAGATATCCACAGGGCCTGCGAAGCTCAGCTCTTCCGCGTGTCGACCGAAATGATCAAATTACGAGAGACCTTTGGAGAATCCACAGGTAATGGACTCGCGTTGTTCTGTGAACGATTGACAACTCTCAGGATAGCGGATCTCATGCAATGATATTCACCTGCGCTTCTTCGTCCTGGAAGGTCTCGCAGCAAGAGAAACTCACTTGAGCGGAAGCTGTCTGCGACAAAGAGGATGTGTGGAGAATTCATGGGTCCAACCGCTCGCAAATAGATTACTTCCGGAAGTGTTTAACGGCGGGAGAGTGATTCTGCGCGGAGCTTCATCGGTCCGACGCCATTCAGGTAACTTCAGAGATATGTCTCCGAATAAGCTAATTAGAATATTGCACCTTCCGCGGCTAAGAGGAAACTTTGGATATATACGGCCGACTTTTGCTCTCGAAACGATCGCATTAATTTTCCTGATAACAAGTCACAGAACACAGCCCGAGCGGTGGGAGCGGCGAAAGCTTGTGGACAGCTTGCGAACCAGTCCGGAGCGGCGAAAGGTCACCTGAGATCCTCAAAGGCACCTCTCCTCCGGTCCGGACACGACTTGGAAGCGGATGTTTGTGGCTACGAACTCTTGGAGGAATATTCTCTGACCTTCTGCACTACTTTTGCGGATCGCTGCTGGAGTCCTAATACTTTTTTACTGGATTCAATCACAATGCCAAAAGTCTTGACTAGCGCCATGGATGCGTCGCTTCCGACGACGCGATTGCTCCACGCACGCATAAACGTACAATACTTCTACCTGGATGGGTTCCACACCGGGGCTCGCGAAAGCTTCCGTGCCGATCGACGGAAAGCGTGACGGAATCCTTGCGACAACCCCCATCCGTAAAGGAATAGCGGTGCCTTCGGAGCGCCGAGCTCATTCCACAAGCGAGGTTCTTTGCCGCTGATCTTTTTACGATCTCGTCGGTCAGACGTCGTAAGCTTGCCTTCGGAGACTGGCTTGACCCGAAATCTTGCTGTATTTCGCGACTCTCGTTTCCGAATGGATGGGATTCTCGGTGACTAATTCAAATCACTCCGTCGGCGGCCCTCGAGTCTATTTTGAAAATAAACAATCGCCCAAATCCGACATCGATGATTCAATCATTGGAACATAGAGAGCCGATCGGGTATGAATCAGAGCCGCTGGGGTGTGTAGTGCTGGGAATCAGTATGCCGATGGCGGGGCGATGATCGATGAGGTGATCATTTGTTCTCTGATCTCTATCGGATCGTTTGAGTGGTCCCATCAATTAGTTGGGTACAACCCATTCTTTCCGAGAAGCACTCGCTTCTTGCTTTGGTTCGAGATATCTGTGCACGCCGGAGCTGTCGCCTGAGATGGAAGTCATCTGACACTCCGTGATTCCTAACTGTCGGTCAAGATATTCTGTATTCAAGATAAGGAGGCATTCCAACACTCGTCTAGGTACCTACTATGGAGCCCTCCCGCGGAATAGCGGCTCTCCGGAGCCGATCACGCTACCATTGAAACTCGAGCCACTGAGCTCCTCCAGGCTCAATCACGCTGTTTATTGAGTAGTAATGAGGGGTGCTACCAAAGGATGGGAATCGAATACCAGCATGCTCGTCTTTGGGATTCTTATCACGGTTCCATACCTACATTATGGGGGTGCGGGGACGCACAATTAGCTACGCCACGATCAAGAGCCAGAAGTGGATAAACGAAATTTGAGTTAAGTCGTCTGGTGGGAGAGGAGATACGCTAGCATAAACGGTACCCTAAATTTCCTCTCCTCCTAAGAGACGATAGATCGGATGGCGCTCAAGCGTCGGTCTCATTCCTTTGACTAGCCCCATCCCAATCGAGACCGTCTGTCAGCGCGACAACATAACCGTCTACGTTTGCATATGGGACGAATGTCAGGAAAGAGATCTTTGTCGGCTGCGAGGATCTACACGAGCTCTGTAAATCCCTTCCTCTTCTACCCTCACTCCGCTCAAGCCCACCGAGAGCGGCCGCATGTGGTTCGATTGTCGGTCCCCGGTCGGCCATCATCGGTTTCCAGCTACACTACAAAAGCTAAATGTGGGGCGAAATCGTCTCAGCTCATGCCCCTTGATGATTCCGAGCGACATTTCCGAGAATGCAAATATTTAGAGCAGTCTGATCTCCTGATGTGCAATCGCTTTTCGAATCTACGATCATTGAGGGTCCGCGGAAGGAAGGAAAAGTCGGAGTATGAGGCTCACCGAGCAAAGTCTGGCAAATATTCTGACCCAATCACCTTGTACCTCTCCTGCCGCGTCAATTTCATCCAGTCAATTTCGCCTTATTGCGGGAAGGTCTTACGGGAAGCGAGCCACATTATATTCGGATCACACTCGGCGAGATATTCTTGTAGAGCGTCCGGGTCGCGGAATCGGCGAATTTCTGATTTCTTCTGATTTTGAGCTGCTCCGATTATGAGAAGTCGGCCTATCGGAATCACTTATCACGCACTCGATGAGAGAGTCGGCTCGTCGGGAGTTTTGGACAAAAACATGGGATAACTTTCGAAGATGTTTCCAGAAGCATTTGATTATGAGCAGTCATTTGGAAACCTCTGATAATGATCGACGATTGAGGCGTCGACCGCGAGGTCGCGCTTCGGTACAAAAGCCCGTGACAACATCGCCACGTCCTATTGATCTATTCGAGATCACAGCGCTTAAAGTCGGAGTTCGGCGTTCATGATTCTTTGGAAAAGTTCGCGATCAAGCTTAACGAGCTCCCCGCTATTCAGGAAGTAGATGGGGTCGTCTATCACGTTGATATCGAAGCCCTCCTTTTGCAATTCTCTTTTCTTCAATTTGTACGTCCCTGGAACGATGAAGACATTGAAAGACATGGAGATTATTCACCAAGGAAAGCGATTCGCGAGGTTCAAGGAGACTCGCAAGATACGTGAAGGAAGCTCACCGGTTCTGTCTATGTATCTGAGTTTTCGCGCGAACAGGGGCACGGCATATCTGGGCAGATTCAATTTCAGCTCATCGTAGATGGCCTTAAGATCGACTGAATTGTCGTCGTCTCCGATGGCTATCATGCCCGCTCTGCCTTCCGAACCCGGAACTGTGACCCCATAGCATACCACGTCTGCCTTACTTGATACCCTGAAGGATAATCCAGGTTAAAAATGAACATATCACCCTTCATTCCGATGCGCGAGTCCGCATCGATAAAAAGTTCGATTCCTCCCGAAGATAAATAGATAGATTTCGATGGCTGTACGCTCACCTGCAGACAATGCCCTCGACTTCAGACGTGGAAACATTCTCACCCTTCCAGCGGAAGGTGTCCCCGATCCGATCTCGGAAAAACAGATTCCCGAAGTCGTCCATAACGAGTAAGTCTCCGGAGGCGAAGGCAGCATCACCCTTCTTGAAGACATCCCTGTACATTTTCTTTGAGGTCGCGGTTTTCGAAGCATAGCCATCAAAGGCGTGGATATGATCGTTCTCGCGTATCACCTAAGGATCGAGTCGGAAAATTACTCGAGGGTGTCGAGCATGAAGTTCCTTCCGGCTGTATGGTGAGTCGGACAGAGAAATTCATGGGAAAAGAGCGTAATTGACCTCACCCCTACGAGTTCACCAATTTGTCCTGGTCGACTCGGAATACACAATCCAGACTGGTCTCTCATGGGCATCAGAGTGACTTCGTTGATCCGTATCAGCCGAACGGGATGGACATTCTCCGCGATGCGCGAAACGAAACCGACGGCTCCCACAGTATTATCGATATTCATCACGTGAGCGTTGCCTTCAGTCGAGCCATAAAATTCTCTCAGTTCTTTGACTTTGAATCTGTGGATGAACTTCAGACTAAGGAAAATTGCGCGCGAAAATCAGGATCGTTGAATGCGTGATTGGCATAGCTATGGCTATACGAAGGTGTACCTCTCGTGGAAAGCCGTCCAGATCTGTGGCCGGAGTCCGTTGCCGAACATCATGCGGACTTTGTGCAATCCGTCTTCGGGCTTCCGCGGTTGCGCCATCAAATATCGGCATATCTCTCCGATGTACTGAGTCACCGTTGCATCGTACTTGATGCAATCATTCCAGAAATTTGAGGCGGAGAACTTCGGTCGAACACACACCGTGTTCCCTGTGCGAGGAGCGAATTATTCAATCATTTCACTAGGCGATCTCCCCGGAGCTGATTGCCCCCATTCCATAGCCGAAGATTCAACGTTGACTCGTAAGATCAAGAACGAGGTTTGGAGCATCTTCTTCTCGTCACAAGGGCCCGGCTCTTTGAACGCCCTCCCTCGTTCATTGATTAGAAAGATTCTCAATTTCACGAAATACCGACGTCGCTACGGTTTAGATACTCGTACGCACTCACCGAAAAGTAAGGCTTGACCCACGCTCAATATTCCGCCAGCAGTGTGATACAGAGGCAAACAAGTATAAAATATATCCGACGGTCTGGAAGGTGTGATATTGCTGACAATCGAAGCCATGGAAATGAAGCGGGAATTCTTGATGACGGCCGCTTTGGGTAGTCCAGTTGTTCCGGAAGTATAGATGTAGATCAATTTGTCTGTGGGAGTAGAGAGACTGCATTCATCCTGCCATGGGATGTGAATGAGTAGGCGTATTCGAGGAGCGGCACTGTCACAAGAACAGCGTGACTCTGATGGACGGGAGTAGTCTCTCAGGGGTACAGATGCGGACAGAGACATGTGTTCAGAGAGATCGTGCTCGGATGAAATTCATGTCGCCCCTCGTTCTCTGCTTTGAAGAAAGCCTGGTGGTACTCACCATGAACAGAGCCCTTATGTTGAACGCGGGGCGCGGTCATCGCGGAGGCCCTCAAGAGATCTTCGAGATCCACAGCGCCGATTCGGGAAGCGATTTTTGAAGTGCCAAGGCAGAAGAGTCTCATTTTTGACTTCTCCGACGTGATTTCAGATGCGATATCTTCCAAACCTGATTGGGAAAATATCTCTCATCTTGGGTTCAGTCTTCCGGATATATTTTCGACGACTCAATGTTCTTCCCGGGAGGGGTTTCGAGAAAACAAATGACATGCAATTGTAATCGTCCGGTCCTGGACATTCCCTTCCCCTTCACGCAAACTCACCCTGAGCTTGAGCCGGGCCGAAAACAATCGCCTTCGGCGTGACACTCTTCAGTGAGTGGAGCAGCGGTTGCAGGCGGAGATTGTTATTTACCAGGGCGGAAACGACTCCGATTTTCGATAGACCGAGCCACATCATGACGAGTTCGGGTCGAGAATCCATGTACAGACAGACCTCATCCTTGGCCTCGAAACCCAGTTGTTGGAAGCAATTCGCCACTTGATTCACGCATCTGCTGAACTGAATTCTTTCTTGTTGAGTTGACGCTGATGACTTCTCGATCGTAGAAGGCATCTCTCGAGTATTTTCTTTTTTCGCAAGGTTAGATCATCTCACCTCTAGAAACGTCCACTGTCTGTCCTCGGTCCGAAAAGCAATTTTGTTCGGGTTCGACAAGACTTTCTTTTCGAAAATGTCGACCACTGTGTAATCGTAGCGGAGTGCCCATCGATAGTAAATGGCAGTGGCGGTCATCCGGCAGAGAGCCCTGAGGGAATAATTAGAGTCCCATCGATCAGAAGAAAAAAGTCTCGACGTCTGGAGCTTATTGTCGGCTCCTTCATCCCAGCAAGTTCAGCTCGACACCGCAGCATTAAGAGTCGTGGACCGGATTTTGTATTAGGAGCGAAAAAGGAAAAAAATCTATGGCGATCATTCGAAAATTTTAAGCTGAAGATTCCTCGTCGAAAATTCAAGAGAATGATTGGACGAGGTCCCCCCGTCTTAGCATTCCGAGTCAAGAGCGCTCAAAATAGAGATCGTTCAGAACGCCCCATGGTCAGAGTCGAGCGGGCCGCTTGCTTCTTGCAGGCTGCTGCCTCCACCCGGGCTCACAAGCCTAATCAAAGCTCTACCAACCTCAGGTCGCGGCCGGCGGTTGTGCAGAAGACCCACAGATACTTCCAAATCCCTGCTCTCACAAGAAAAGTACACATTAGTGAAGTCAATCAGTGAATCGATGACGTTTACGAAATTTCAACCGGAATTCGAACACACACCTGCTATGACCGTCCACATGATGACTCTAGGGAACTAGATCCCAGGGAACTAGCTCTGCTTCAAACAAAGGCACAGGCTTGGTGTATGGCTCAGAGCTCTGAACGTTGAACACTGCCTCATGCGCCGACCCCGCTAATAATCCTCAGAGAATGGAGAAGGGAACGGAGAGGCAACGTTCACGGAAAGGTTTCGGGAGTCTCTGTATTTACAGAAGGAGAGCTTTCATAGGTGACCGATTCGATACAGGGTGTGCGCTGAGAGAGGAGCATCCGGAATGGGTTCCGACTGGCTTCATGGGTGAGCAACCCTCTATCTGAGGATAGACAAGTAGGAGGTCCATGGAGCTCGGGTAATCGATGAGAACGAGATCATCTTGGCCGGTGTCAATAGCTCGGTTTGAATCGTACAGCTTCGATCCTTCTACGGAGACCAGGTGAGCCTGGTGCAGTTCTCATTTCAGCATGAATTGGAGAGGAATCAACTCGGGGTTGTCCCCGTCGGGGCTAGCTCAGAGCGTCCCTATCTTGATTCACACACTTCAACAGTGACGCTCTTAGAGAAAGCGATGCGTTTGACAGGAAGGGAGAGATAGAGGTCTCTCGATCCTACCTGATCGGCCATAATTACCAATGATTCCTCCTTTTGATGAGGCGTCGAGATTTCGAATCTTGATTCGATTGAGGCTAGATTCGGTCAGAAGACGGGCCGCTCTCTGGAGACAGTGACGAAAACAAAGATGAGAATGCGACGAGTTGGGGTCCGTGCACGATCTAAGCACGAGCGCATTCACAATAGGGCTGAGGAGGCAATAGCATACAGCGGCGGATTCCCGTCACGGCATAGCGAGCTTTTCCAAATCCTAGTCATCTCGTTCGACCGAAACCAAATTGATAAAAGTCTGCCCGAGCCAGTCATGCTCGCACTCAAGTACCCAGATAGCATTGAGCGTCGGAACGTCGTTCCATCCTTCCAGGCGGTAATTCAGTGGCCGTTTGAAGCCGGAGACGGGTTAATGATGATCTGGGCGAGGAGCGAATTCCCGCCAACGATGCCGGGATCTCTCGGGTGCAGAAAGCGTCCGATTAAAATTCATAGGGCCGCGTACCCGGTCTCGTCTAGATCAGCCGTCCGACCAGCTGTATGGCACTGTGACCGTAGATGACAACGGGATTTTTTTCTGAAGTTCCGATCCTCGCAGAATCTGCTCTAATCTGGGAATCTGCTGCTCTGAGCCGTGTCGAGTGCCTATCCCGGTCGCTAGGAGGCTCCTTGAATTCGCCATTCCGATCTCCATCCTCGTTCGCCGCGAGGGTGAGAGGGGGGGAGCATCTCGGTAACAGGAGGATTCCTCAGACATGCAGAAAAAGTCGAAAGCACCGGAGTCGATTATCCCGATATTCGATCCTTGAAGAAGTAGAGGAAGAATTCGACAAAGATTCGCGGTACACACTCACTCATTCCCGGGATCCAGATCGCTTCAGCGGAATTCGCTCTACGGGTTTGATATCCGGAGATCCCTCTGGCACACATACAGTCTGCGGAACTAATTGGTCTTCTGATATCTCTGCCTCCGCCTGAGGTAATGGTCGAGTCTCTGGTGGCCCTGCAAGAAAGGAACTACAGTGAAACCTGACTTAGGGTCCACCCGCGTAATGGGTCCACCTGAGCTATCGGTCCACTTTCGTCAGGCACCGATTCGTTCTGCCATAAAACTGTGTTGATTTGAACGCGTAAAGGGTCCACCTGAGGAATGTGTCCACTGTCCACCCTTTTCGGGAACAGCGACCGGCGCTTACCCGCCTGAAGGGTCCGATGTCTAGAGGCTCTCTTGCTTGATCACGGATCAGCTTGAATTGATGAGCTGTGCGCGTCCAGCGCTGCAACGTGCTTTCATATCTTACAATAGCGGCGCATCGAATGACTCTAAACAGTCCTGTACGGCCCGCATTGATGACGCGTCCTTACGTGGTTTTCCTTGTGATATGGGTGAACGTTGTGAGCTTCCACTGCATAAAAAAGTCGAACTGATCCGTAAGCTCGGAAGAGGACGGAGCCAAGGCTCGCTTGCCGAGGAATACAGCGTCAGCAAAGGCCAAATACAAAGATGTGCCAGAGATCAGAACATCCTCCTGAAGGAATGGGAAAGTTTCTCTTCAGAAAAGGATCGGAGACGTCGACGCAAGCCTTGTCATGATTCTCTGGACAGAGGTGTCATTGAATGGTTCCGAGCCGCTTCTAGTAAGCGGATTCCAGTGACTGGTAGAATGATACAAGAGAAAGCGAAATCTCTCGCGCAAGAAGCGTGTCTCGAAGGATTCACAGCGAGCAATGGTTGGCTCGAAAGTTCCCGAGGGAGGCACAACATCATCTTCAGAAATTTGTGCGGCCAATCAGGTGACGCTGTCGGAAGTACGGTGGATAGCTGGTTGACACATGTGAGAGCGCTACGGATCTCACTAAGAAAATCAACGTCCTTGAAGCACTCCGATGGGTGATCCAAGCTTGGGAAGGTGTACAAGAAAAGACCATCGTGAAGTGTGACCATTGTGGTCTCGGGCTCGATAATGTAGAAGTGCTCGGAACCGATGAGGCGGAAGATTTGATATTCGATTCGTTGCGGCTATCAGAAAAGGCTGACGTCTCCGACCCTCATTTGGAAGAAGAACTCCAGTGCTACGCCGATTCCTCAGGCTTCAAGCCCCTCAATGAGGAAGACGGTGTGGAAGACGAAGCGGAGGACGCTCGCGACGTAAAGTCCGCATCGTCCCAAGAGGCGCTCCTAGCGATCGAGACCTTGAAGTCTTTCGTATTCGCGGTGGGCGCGATGCCGTCAAATGCCGACGACTCTATCCTTAAGTGTGAGAGAGAAGTCCTGAACTTCATCCTGAACCACAAACAGAAGTTACTGCGTCAGACAAATGAGCAGGAATGACAAAATCTGAATACAGTAATAAATGAGTGCACTCAGTGAGACCAAATGCATGCCTCTTCATTCCGTGCTTATCCGAGGAGAGGGGGTGAAGGAGAGACAATTTCAGAGGAAAATGTCGTCAATCGCGTGAAGCGTAAAGCGTCCACCTGAGGTATCGGTCCGTGTTTTGCTCGGACGGAAGGTGGACCTCTTAGACAGGTTTCACTGTACAGTTCTTAATTGATGCTTAATGGGCCCACTTGCGGTTTCAGCGGGAAGGGAAGCGATATCTCAGGAGGACCCATTACGCGTCCGCATTACCACGGGCTCTCATGGCTCGCGGTCCAGGGGGAAAAAGGTCCGATAGGTCAGGTGGTCCTTATATGCAGGAGGACCTTGAGTCAGGTGTCACTACACCTCAAAAAAATGAATCTCGGGAAATCAGATTCTCATGATATTGAGAGCGATATTGCGGGGAATCAGGACGCAGCGGACGGGATGCGGGAGGTTGGTATTCGAGCTGCGACGACGAGGTGGGCGATCGCGTTCGATTGGCTCCGTCGTCGGTTCCTCTGGGGAAATTGAATTTCCTTCATTGTCGAAAGAAATGTTTGCCTGGGTCGAGCTCACTGAGCCTACTGATTCAATCTGCCCCGATTTGATCCAACCTCAAAGTTAGACAAAAGACGACTCCGTCCATCGTTAACTACACCGTGGGGCTTCCGTCAATTTCATTGCACTCGTGGAATCTTCGAGAAAGTTCCTTCGGATTGTTGCCAGGAAGGCAGTAGGAGATTGATGGGTAAGGTGATCCGATGTAAATCTTGGCTTGCGCCATAGAGTGAGAAGATTTCCTGGTCGAATCCTCGAAACATTGTACGTTTTCTTGCAGCGTCTCGACGAAATTTTTGAAAGAGCGAATTTCAGCTAGCTCGGCATTCAGTCGAATCGCAATTATTTCTCGTGTTATTCAAGGGTACGTCAGCATCATCTGCGGTCATCGCAGAGACATCAGCATTGATTTCCAAAACAGTTGATGTAGACTGCATGCTGGAATTAATCGCTCACCTCCATCCCCACATTGATGCAGTTCGGTTCGTTCGCGAGAAGGACGTAGGTGACTGCTCTCCCCTGCTGATATCTTGTATCCCGAGGCACGGCATTCAACGCGAGATTCTTCCGGAGATCCACGGAGTTTCCCCACTCCCTCGGAGCCTCGGCATTCAGCAGAGTCCGACTCGCGCGCGATCGATCGTTCCCCCCCCCCCCACCTCGATGATCGTTATTGGAAGCACCACTAATTGAGGAGTCTCGGAGCTCTCGTTCTGCATGATTGAGAATCAACTCTGCTGGAGAATCTTGAGATGGGTACGCCTATGAAGAGCATCTCGAGGAAGTCGATCTCGCTGAACGATTGTCTAAATTCAGCATTGAAAGGACATGCTTTGAGAATGACAGAATTGGTGACCTCTGCCTGTCGTCTGTCTTTCATGAACCGCCGATACTCACCGGGCGTGGCGAAAGTTTAGGGGAGAGTCGGGATGCACGGATGAACCCGAGGTGTTGAAGCAGAATGTAGCCGCTTGCCTGATGAAAGGTCACGGTCGACTTTCGCGATGAGTAAACATTTGAGTATGGTCACTATCTCTCTGGACAGAGGCGGATGCACCGAGTAATCTAGGACTTCTCGAGGAATAGGGAAGAAGACGGAGCGGCACTGTTTGCGGTCTACGGGAATGTGTTCGCAAGCTTCTGTATTATTCGATTTTACGTGGAGTGCTTCCATGCGTGTCTCAATCGTGTCGGGAGAAGTTTGAGTGTGGAGCACTTAGCAGGACCAAGGGATGAGCAACCCCCTATCTAGTCATCAATCAACGGCGAGCACGGAGTCGAGCGATTGATCGACCAATCGCGGCTTCTCCAGCCTTAGTCTGAAGCCCGAACGGCCAATCGTAAAGCTTTCGATGGAGCCTCATTGGACTGCTTAGCTTTTTTCCTATGGGAAAAGTTTGTTCTGCTCCAGGCAAGCACTTGAGGCTGTGTTCCGGAGATTACGCCGTTGACCGACTCGGTCTGCTCTGCGATTGGCCTCCGGTCTCAAGTTCAAATGTTACTTCACGACTGAATGGGGAACGATGGGAGTTCATCCAGAGCCCATCGATTGGGCTCCATTCTAAAGAGGTCGAAACATTCGGAGAGAGAGTGTGTCTGCAACCCTGATCGAGGATAAACTCCAGGGATGATGGAGTCATAGCGCGAATCGTGTCATCCTCTCCGAGGATACAATCAAAAGCTGCCTTCGCTGAGTGGAAGCTCTCTGCTCTTTCCGAGGATCGAGAGCGGAGATCCCCCGAACTTGAATTCTCGGGTGAAGTGTCTCGGATTCCATGGCCTCGATTCCGCAAATCTCGAGGAGTGCTCCATGTCCCGGGAGTTCCCTCGGGAAGGATGATTCCTTCCACGAAATGCAGAGCCCCTATGCTCCAATCGGCCACTTACCGTAGTCCCCATCCTACGGCAGGTCTCTTGGATCACCGACTGAGACGGTGTGGAGAATCGGTCTCGAGAGGGGCGGGAGCGCACGTCTCATGCAAATTCACGGTTTCCGAGGCCGAACCTTTAGTCTTGATTGACGGGCGGCGCCGACCGCTCAGAAATCGAGGATGAGCGACGATAAACTCCGCGGAAACTCTGGACGGGCCTCGGAGCTCGTCATGGGAACGAGGGTCCAACGCCGCGCGAGGCTGCTCGCACTCCGGGGCTCACCATCGTGATCTCATCTTCAGTAGACGTCGCTGCCAGAGCGCAGTGCGGATTATCCTCGGAGAGTCCCTCCGATTCCGGGGGACCATACCGATAGACGGCGGAATTCGTACCCCCGATCTTGATCGGCTACCTGGATTTGTTCATTCGAGCAATTACTGATTATTATGGATGACTAGGATCGCGAAGAATATGAGGTCTTTCGCCAAAAATATAGGTGTGTTTATTGAGTTGATCCGTTTGTTATTCGTTTATAGTAGCAAAATATTTGATTCGCCAAGTAAGTGCGCTCACGGTTGTATTGTTCACACCATTGGATCGGCCGGTAGATAAAACCGAGCGTCAACTCCACTACTTATTCGGGCGACAGCGAACAAGATAACACGGCACGCCACATCAGGATTGAACGGAATCTATCACGAACGTCTGCCGACGCGATAATCGTCGCTTGGTGGACGGGAACAGTCTCGGGACGTTCCACGAACTAGAAATTACGCCAGTTCTATTGAGAGCTATCGTGCCTCTCACTCATTTACGAATGCAAAATACCCTCCCCGGAATCGATGAAGACTCGAACACAAGTTTCTTCTCCAGGCAGGGAGGAGCGGAATTAATGATCATATCGCGATCTCTCGCTTATGTGAGCTATAGATTCATCTAGGGAACATCGCGCCTTCATTACGGCTTGTGGCATTGCATGAAGATTTGGGCAACCACGTCGACGAGGGAAACGGGGTATTTTTATTATCAACAAAAAATGAAGCCATTGTCGGGCTGGTACTTTCGTCCCATGAAACCTTGTCTAGATATATCACCTGTTTGCGCTGACGGCGTCGTCATTCAGTAATTCGAGAACCTATCTAAAACCCCAATCAGGAGATTTGAGCATCTAACGTACTCGTCGAACGAGGAGGAAACTGTTGTTTACGAAAAAGTATAGAAGAATGTAGACTCAGGATCGGGACCCAGGGCCGTGAGATTCGACACTTGATGTCTATGCGGGGACTCCCTGTGAAATCTTCGAGGGAAGAGCGACGGGATCGTCCCTGCATAAACCCACAATAGTAAAAAAGATCCATCAGTTTTCTTCTCGAGACCGGGGAAAAAAACCCAAAATCAATAGGCGGCCATTACGAACTCACAAAAAGTCAGGTAAGGCACTTAACCATTTGTGATAGGGGCCTTGAGCCATCAGATCGTATGCTTAATAAATACACTGATTGAGTCTGGAAAGGAGACCATCTCCCTAAGCCCCGTGCGATCGTGGATCGAGATTCAGAGACGGATCTTCGCATACTGTATCGAAGTATACAGCTCTCGGTCGAGCCTGACGTAAGTCCCATTATGCAGGAAGTAGATAGGATCTTTGACCACATTGATGTCGAAGCCTTCTTTTTGCAGTTCGACTTTCTTGAGCTTGTATGTTCCTAGTGAGAGAAAAAATGCATCAGTTACCATCGCGAGGGCCGTTTCTGTCCAGGATTCTGACTTTTCCGGAGCGCAAGTCTAATGAAAGCGTTCCCGGGACAACGAGAAAACTCACCTGTTCTATCTATTTGACTGAGTTTACGAACGAATAATGGGATCGCATATGCTGGCAGGCACAGTTTGGCCTCTTCCGAGAATTTGCTCAGGTCGATCGAATCATCGGCGTCATCCACCGCGACCATCCCGGCTCTACCTTCAGACCCAGGGATCTGAACTCCATAGCAGACAACATCGGCCATCTTCAAGATCCTGGAGCGCGAAGATCACATTAGCTCAATTCATGCCTATCCAGTCGAAGAGGAGAGCCAGTCTGATGAGCCGAGCTTCCAGAAATGAATCCCCGACATTCACTGGCGAAGAGGCATTCGATCTGTCGACGTGCTCGATTCACACGTCAAGAGACAGAGTCACGCCAAGCCGCCAAGATCACATCACATTTGGGAAGAATCGCGAGTCGAGCTCTGTGTTTGAGCCTCTGAAGTATCTCACCTGGAAACGATCCCTTCGACTTCCGATGTGGAGACATTCTCGCCTTTCCACCGGAAAGTATCACCTGTCCTGTCTTTGAAAAACAGATACCCATACTCGTCCATGACGAGCAAGTCCCCGGAAGCGAAGGCAGCATCGTTTTTCTTGAAAACGTCCCTATACATCTTCTTTGAAGTGGCTTTCTCCGAAGCATAGCCGTCGAACGAATGAATATGATCATTTACGCGGATCACCTGCGACGATGATTTTCGAGGTCAGAAACATTGGTTCAGCGTCTCTGACCACACGGAATGCGATCCTTGTGGGACCTGGAGCTCGAGTCATCGAGACAAATCCTCCCAGGGATTCATAATAAAAAAAGAATACATTTGTATATCATCTAGAGCTGAACATACCCCGACGAGCTCCCCGACTTGTCCGGGTCGACACGGAACACACAGTCCTTTTTTATTCCGGAGCGGTAAACCAGTGGCCTCGTCTATCCGAATCAAGCGTACGGGGTGTACATTCTCAGCAATGCGCGATACGAAACCGACGGCACCGACCGTGTTGTCAATGTTCATGACGTGAGCATTGCCTTCCGTCGAGCCGTAGAATTCTCGGAGGTTTTTCACATTGAATCTGAAAAATTCCCATTCCATTTATAGAAGACAAAACTCCGGACTACTCAAATCCGAAGCTTCAATGTAGCAGCAGTGATCTTGAGATTGATCCGCCTCGTGACCAGACGATTCAATTGAGACCCGTATTAATTATCCCGTTCTGGATACAAACCTCTCCGAGAATTCCGTCCAGATCTGGGGTCGGAGTCCATTGCCGAACATCATGCGAACTTTGTGCTGTTTGTCTTGGGGTCTCTCCGGTTGTGCGAGAAGATATCGACAGATTTCACCGATGTACTGGGTCACTGTGGCATCAAATTTGATGCAATCGTCCCAGAACTTTGAAGCGGAAAATTTTGGTCGTATACACACGGTGTTTCCTGGGAGCAAGAAAAACAAAGTCTTAAGGGGGAAAACAATCCACACGGATGACGCGATTGGAGTGCCAAGTATCCGGTGGAATCGAGATCAGATATGAATCCAATCTCTCGCTGTTCCCCGACCGCATCGCCGAGTATTTCATCCCTTCGCTGTACTCACCATATAGGATCGCCTGACCGACCGATACGATACCACCCGCCGTGTGATAGAGGGGCAGACAGGTGTAAAACACATCAGACGATTTGGCGGGCATGATGCTGTTAGTTATGGAAGTCATTGAAATGAAGCGCGAATTTTTAATGATGGCCGCTTTCGGAAGTCCAGTAGTCCCAGAGGTGTAGATGTAAACCAATTTGTCTGCGCGGAGAGGAAAATGAGATAACGTGAGTTCGAAGTGAACTCCGGTTCGCTCACAATGCACCCCGCTCATCAATCGAAGGAAGGAACTTTATCAGTTCGCTGAGTTTCAGAGTTTTTCCCCGCTGCGATAATTGGTGTATAATTTCACTATGGGATATTCGATACTCAATGCAAGAAGCTCGGCGCTTACCATGTACCGATCCTTTGTGAGTCGTTCTCGGTTCGGCGGCGGAGCTGGTTTCAAGCAGTTTTTCGAGGTTCATAGAGTGTAACTCGGGAGCGACATCGGCAATCCCGAAACAGAAGAATTTCAATTCCGGTTTCTCCTTCAAGAGCTCCGAAGTGATGTCATTGATGCCTGGAAAGACGGGAATATTTTTCTGATTCCTGCCTGCTGAGGGAGGCGGGTCGTCACCGTGACGAATTTTCCTTCGCCGCCGGAGCTAAAGAGTTTCAATCGGCAGGCGGAGGTGATTTTTTGACCTTCCGAAATCCTCCCTTATTGGCGATCGCCTCCTTTGAGACGATCGTAAACGAGATTGCGATCTACTCTCGGGTGGTTTCCTGACATTCTGATTCCGATTCCCAGCCTGATCAGAATGCTCGTGTTGAGCTGTAGGTGCGATGGAGACGTCTGCGAGACGGGATCGTCACGTGATTCGCGGACGGTACCACGACTCCATGCGCCGGAGTCGGAGTAGATGTTCGCCTAGTTTTTGATGCGACCCTGCTTGTCGCCAAGTTTTTCCTCATATACTTAATTTCTCCAGTCTCATTGTTTCGCTTTCTGGCAACGGAAAAGCGAGGAACTCACCTTGAACCTGAGGAGTGCCGAATATCACGGCTTTCGCTGGAACGCTCAGCAGAGAATGAATCAAGGGTTGCAGGCGGAGATTGTTGTTCACGAGCGCAGATACCACTCCAATCTTCGACAAACCGAGCCACATCATCACGAACTCGGGTCGAGAATCCATAAATATACAGACTTCATCTCCGGGTTTGAAGCCGAGTTGTAGGAAGCAATTAGCCACTCGATTAACCGACTCTTTGACCTGAAAAGCCGATTTTGAGCGAAATCTGCGCGAGACTACTACGGGAACAAGAGGACCCGAGGCTCTCAGAAAACTTCAGTCCTGTAGGTTTTGGTGATTTTTCATCTGAAGCGAAACTAATGAATGGGCCGATTGGGAGGAAGCCATTCAAGGAGTCGGTGAAATCTTGGCAGCCGTGCGTGAGTATTTCGTTTCAGATACCATTTCTGGCGAGAAGTTGGATCACGGATACGCGCGGTTCACGCTTCGAGCATCTCGTATCATGAGAGCGGATGTTTTCGTTCATCAGATTTAAGTTACGGATTTCTCTTTTCTGACCAATATCCATTCAACCCATGATCGTATTGACGAGTTTCTCCGCGCATTTATCTATTCACGAATCGGTCAAAGTATCACGACGAGCGATCCTGGTTGAATCGACTTCCTCCTGAGATATACAGCGAAATGCTCAATGCGCAGCCAGGGATGACGTCAATCCGAGCTCGGAGCGTTGCGTCGCTTCATTTTCCAGCGAAACAATCTGTCAAAGTCTCTCTCACCTCTCGGAAGGTCCATTGCTTGTCTTCTGTCCGGAATGCAATTTTATCGGGATTTCTCTTTGCCGTATCCTCGAAGATTTGGACGACGGTTAGATTGTGCCTCAGAGCCCGTCGGAAGTACAACGCTGTGCGAATGAGTCGAACCAATCCTCTGGAAGGCAGAAAAAAGCTCCTCAGCATTCTGACGAGGAAATTATTCTTCATGCAATATATTCCCACAGAGAAGCAACACAGCTAAGAAACGAAACAATAGGAGGATGGTCAAGGATAAAGAAAACGCGATGCACTCTCGGATGCAAATCGTCGGTGAACAGGACGAGGACCTTTCCTCATATATTGCACGAGCTCTAGCCCGTCAGTCGTTCACATAAATGTAAACCGCTCATACAGTCTGTCCGGGGCGATGATTGCGTCATACTCGTTCGTATGCATAGTATCATCTAAAATTTACCCTCCGTGGAGGAAGTTAATCAAAGATCAAGAAAACCCGCCGGAGTCCTGGCAGATCATCGTAGACGCTCAATTAATTTCGGCCGAATTTCTTCCTGTTTCTTCAGACGATTGAGTTGAGACTTCCGCAGCACGAGGGAGCACTGTCAGCGAGCCACGTGGGTACCCTCGTGTCTCGAAATACTCTCGGTCGACCTCTGGCCGATTTGAGTCTCCACTATACTTGCCAATATCCATACAGGATATCTAGGCAGTGCCCAGACCAGACATTCCCGAGGGCTCTTGTGCGATGCCCAGAATTTCGACTTCGGAATTGTCTTCGGGAAGTTCAGGCCTCGTGAAACAAGAACCTTGACTCGCTCATATCCGATGTTTCCAGCAGTCCCTTTCGCTGTGATTGCGAATTGGCTCCGTATCCTTCGAAGACATTAGGTAATCGCTGGACTCTCATCCGAAGATATTTGACGGTTGCGAACAACGCCCTCGCTCTCGCTCTTCTGAGTGCTCTTCTGAGGGTATCCTGGCAGGAAGGCGAGCGATCCTTGATATTTTCGCTGAGAAAATTCCACAACAAAACGCTCGCTCCCTCGCTGTGCCACTTCTCAAGAAAAGGGCAACAAAACAGGGACACGCTCCGCCGATTTCATGGCCGTCTTCAAGGACCACAGTCGTTTCAACCGAAGGTGGTAAAAGTCTCTGTCGAACCTCTGCTGGATGAAGAAGATTCCGATTTCATGTTTGCGAAATCACGTCCGATAAGCCAACAAACATTTGATGTTCCAGCTGTCTTGCAGCGAACGCTAGTCATGAATGAACTTTTCTTCGGGACGTCGGATGGCCCGGAACCTACGCGCTGGATGAACTTCATAGGTTCTCATTGATGCAGTCACGGTTAAGGCTACCGTGACCACTGAAATGATTTAAGAGAACATCAACAACACTTGTCTCAACCAATCGGATGCACCCAGATCTGATGAAGATGTTTTATTTTCTGAGAAAATTTTCAGTCAATCATGATCTGCACCGATGCCCACTTATGCCTGTTGGGCCTCACACGATGACACATACGCGGTACCATCCCCGTCATGAATCGATCGGGCCGAAAAATCGAAATCTGGAACTATAGGCGAACTTCCAGGCGTCCAGCAAACTGGGGAGCTGTAGCAGTGGTTCTTGACAGCAAGAGATGAAGAGCTCTCAGAATATGTATTCGCGAGCTTGACAAGTGGTGACAGCCAATTGCGATATCTTGAGAAGGAATTATTCGCTCAATCTCTCTCTCGGCTGAGAACCGCCTGCCTGAGTTCCCCCGTAGAATGTCTCCCAGAAAAGAGGCGTGCTCCAACAATGAGCAGGGAATGCTCTGAGGCGGAAAACACCACCGTGTCGTCAGGAATGTCCCTTTGAATCAATTATTGGATCGATCACGGAATGTGCAGATAAGCGCTTCCATTCAGCTAGCAATGACTAGATCGTGTAGCCGGTAGAACATCGAAGTGCCTTATCAGTTGGCAATGCATTCGCTGCTCGTTTCAAATAGAGAAATCCCAAGGCACGCTCCATTCCGAAATCATGATACGCATATCTTCTTCTAAGGCAATCCTCACTAGGGCTGCTTTTCCGAAGCATCACAGCCGTTTTTCGCAATCACAGCCAACCCATAAAGAAAGCATGAGCTCGCATGAAAAAGATATCCCTTCGCGAACCAGGCGCTTGTTCCCGCCAGGATCTCTGCCCCCGTTTCTGGGAGGGAGTGTATATGTATTGTATCGTTGAGTGTAACCTCCGTCGAAGTACATTATCTAACTAAGTACCAAAACAACGGGAATAGTGCGACTCTCCGGGAGGCCGAACATTGAAGCGCAGACTTTGGTACGCTTCGTTTACCACCAGCGCAGAGGGGCATTGAAATCCAAACGCACTCAAATGTTTTGAGGGGCCGTCATGTGGAGACGAGAACCGGGCACCAGAAAAATAAGATCTACGGAGCCTCTCAAGAGCTCAAAACTTCGCGTCTGGAATACACAGCAGCCTCGTTTCCACACCGCCATCGTCGGAGTCAATGCGAAAAGATACCCCATGTCTAACGGCTCGATAAAGCATTCGTTTGCTGGGCCATGGTGACGAAAGGAGTCGATATTAGAAGTGTAATACTCGATTTTGTGAATAGCCATCGGATATATGATGTTGTGTATCGAGAATGAACCTGCTGCCCGCGGAGCATTTTCGCTTTCTACGATGCTTCGTCATTGAGCAATAGCCATGACCGCTAGCTAGCTAGCTCGCTAGCTCACTCGTTCGCTAGCTTCGGAAAAGCCCCTTCGTTGCCAGACTTTCACGTGACGTTTCGACACACAGCCGTCTAACCGAAGCAAATAAAGTTGGCGAAAAATTCACCAACTGTGAGCAGTCGAGTGGCGAAAATGTTTCAATTTGTAACGAGAGGTACCTCAAAAATGTTAACAATTCAATCTTACTCCACGCGAAACTCAGGTGTTTTCATCATGGGTCTGTTCCGCAGCGTTCGGGCGGAGAGAGGAAGAAAGTTTCAGAAGCCCCGAGCGCTCCAGCCATGGTCCTCATCATAGCTCGTGATTTTTGGGTGCCGCAGCTCCTGACAACGGGTTTGTGGCCGCTCGTTGGTTGAGCTGAACAGTTCGGCTTGATTGTGATTGTAGTCCCAGCGTCAGCGACTACCACAGCTGTTTTAATGGACAGGGTTCGGCCAAAGATTTCGAGAGGCAGCTTCTTCTCTATCGAAAAGTTTCGAATAGTAGCGACTAGGGCTTTCAGTGGTTCCTACCCGAGTTCTGGAAACGCAGGTCTCGGCCGATCTTCTCGGATCCGGGACCGACCGGTTTTCTAGTTTCCTACCCGCGGTTCCGAGAGGGCAAGATAAATCCATCCCGGCGTCTAAACCAGCCTTGATATGCTCCAAAATGAGTAGGGATCCAGACCGAGATGTTTTTGATGGCTGAATGTCTCTCTCATGCAAGCTAGAAAGGGACCAGAACTGACCGCCGCGATTTAGACGAGATAGCGCGGGATCTGTAGGACGACCCGGGTCTTGAAAACCCCCACATTACATGTCGCTAGGTAGGCCCTCTGGACCGAATAATCAGGCCACCAACATATATTCGGGGGTCGGATTATTCGGAATCGTGAGGGGCAGTTCTGGTCACTTTCCCTGTAGCCGCTCGACAGATGAGCGAGCTTGCTCGTGCTGCTGGTCGACGTGGACCGTACCGCGAGTGCGGAGACTGAACTCGGCAAATATACCTTTTCCGATGGAATGAAATCAACTCGACTGTGTTCGTTGGCTACGGAGGATGGGTAGTCTCAAAATTCTCGATCAGTTTCGCCTGGTATCAGTCCCGAATTGGAGGCGGGAAAATTCCGTTCTCTCCGGTTTTTACTCGCGTTTCCGACTCCTCGGTTCCCAGGTACCCGAGAATCGCGGTCCTCGAAACTGAAGGGTATTTCGGAGCCCTAGTAGCGACCGGAAGTCAGCGTGACAGCCCGGTCGGAGAAACGTGTCAACTCGGATGGAGTGTCTTGATCGAGGCCCAGTCCTTCGGAGGAATCTTCAGTACTTCTTCACGTCGGGAGATTCAGGATCCTGATCGTCTTGGAAATTATCACGCCTCTCACAAATATGATCCGTCGGTTTCGCAACCTTTACGCTGATCCGGAGCCTGGGTCTCTCGCGGATGGTCATCCCCCAGCCCCGATTCTCGATCACTACTCGGAGCGCTTTTGGAAGCTTTCGCGACTCGAAATCAAGTTCATGTAAAGGGGCGGCTCGGCATGCCGTCTGCCAAGCATCGCTGGATGCTCCAGCACGGCTCGGATCGCCTACGGCTCGAGATGATAGATGGTTTTCCTTCCTTATTGATTTTCATGGGTTTTTCTGTGATTTCATTTTCTCTTGGGCCCAGAGAATCAACGAAAGCTCGTGAGCGCGCCGAGAGCGCCCTGTTCGGACGGATCCCATTGTTGCCTGACAGCCGGTGTTGACACTATAGTTTCGCGTTCAGGTCACAATGATGTACACGGAAACACACGCCGCGGTCGAGAGAAATCGACCGGAAATCCATTCCAGAAGCGGGAGTCCGGAGATCGCTTCCTTCTCTTCTTGATGGAGCCAAGAACGAGCTGGTCGGCTTGAGGAGATGCGTGAGTAGTTGATCGCAAATTGAAAGCTTCGCCGGAAGCAGAAGTAAGAAGAAGGATTGCTCGGCTACATGGGACGATCTTGACGATCATCCGTAGGTATGTCACACGAGGAAAAGAATGACTATGTTGGAAGGTGGTAGAAGGGTTTTTCACTCGATGGAGATGACGCAGGGGGTTTTTCCGAAATCGATTTCCCTGTCTCATCCAACGAAATACGGACGCGGCATCCAAAAGCGATAAATCAGAATAATAGGACGTATGTTTTTTCCTCTTCAAATTGTATATCGATTCTGAAGCGACCCGGGATCGATCCGTCGATCTCCCAGGTGTTGGAAATGTTTGGAAGCAGCCCTCCAAACCCAGTCGCGCACTTGGAACTCTGTTGTTTTCATTGCGTATCCTGGTTTCGGGGTGAACGTCATGAAGTGTGACGTCAGACCGGGGTCGTCAGAGGAATTGCGAGGCTCGGTACAGGAGGTGTCCGTGAGAAAATAGTCGGTCGGGTAATGTACACAGAGCGGACGA